AAAAAAACGAAGCTGGACACATTTTGAAATGTCCAAAAACATTCACTGAAGTAAATACAAAGCAGGCATACCACTGAAGCGAATGTAGCCTGAATTTTTATATATTACAAGTCATTCCTTAAAAAAAACATTTCCTTTTAAATGAAAGGGCATGCTGGCCCTTGAAAAGACGAACATGAAATATGATAATGGCATATTGACATTTATAACAGCTTACTAGTTTGAAACACTGTAACAAATACATTTACTGTGCTACACAAAAAATAAAACTTTGATTCACATACATGATCATTTAAAGCAAAACAAAACTGAGAAATAAATATGAATGGGCTTTTATAAGTAAACATTTAACAGTAAAACTTTATTTACTGAAATAGGATTAGTTTGATACCTTATTTAATGGTAATGAAGCCTTTAGTTTATGAAGTATACATATAAAATCTTACCTAAGACTTTTGGCAACAAAGTTGAAATTGACATATTACTCATCATGATACTTCACACTGAGTGGTTTTTAACTGTATTTACACTGTGATCGTGAATAGTTACGGACTATATTAATATCCTTAAATATAATTCTAAGGAATATCCTTAAATTCCAAAATTATTCACCATTTTTCTCATAGTAAATGAGATTTATTCATACTTTACAATCGCAAATGAACAATGCTCATTTGTCTTTAAAACATCAGTAAAAAATACTGAGCTGCTCTGATCCCTATTGAGAAATTCCTACAAGAGACTCCAGAAGACTGACTCCTGAGTCCTCAAATAGAGCACGACTGGGACAGCGGGGGAACTGGAGCTGTGACATGTAGTCCAGATGACTATACACTTTAAAATGATTGCGGCTTGGACCGTACTCATGGAAAGTGTCAAAAAAGACCAGGTCAGAGTCTGAGGACAGACTGAGGTCCATGTAACAGTTCATAGTGTGATCCGGAGATGCAGAAGGAGTATTAGGGATATCAAATGGATCGTTGACACATTCCATGCTGGCCTGATTAGCATTTTCATCCAGAAACTCCAATTTAGATTTACTGGTGTTGCTTTCCTTTGTGGATGTGCCGCCAGTGGCTTCTGTGGACAGATTATAATCTTTAATGTATGGACATCCTTCTCCATCAGAATCAGAAAAGCTGAGTATGTGAGTGAGTCCTCTGCCATCCACGTCCAGTGTGGGTCGCTCTGAGGAAGGCCTTCCATCTGTCTCAGAGTCCAGACTCAGAGAGGAAGAACAGGAGGTGTCAGTCATGTCACTGCTCCAGCTGTTGTCCCCCTGCCTGCAGAACTCTGAGCTCAGGAGGAATGAGGGAGAGTCGTTTTTTACAGGAAATGTAATGGCTCTGTTCCTCGCCGCTGATTGTTGCTCAGTGGAGATTAGTCTGTTGTCATCGTGCAGCCTCTTTTCCAGCTCCAGCTTCATGTATGTGTGGATGTAGTGGCTCCGTACACGACTGGAGTTGAATTCGATTCGGCCTGCAGGATTCCCACAGCATTCCTTTGAACATCCACAGGGAAAGTTGGAGCGATCCATCTGTTGACAGATAATGTTTATCAAAAAAACAAATAGTGAAAAAAACAGTACTTCAGTTCTTATAATACAACTGTTGCTGGCCATAGGAAAGAAAAATCATGAGATCTATTCAATATCTCAATGAGATTAGAAGTAATTGAGATTTGACAATATGACCTCAGTAATCTCAGAAGCGATGAAATATTTCTCAAATACACTACCATTCAAAGGTTCAGGGTAGGTAAGAATTTTTAGGTAAGAAATTAATACTTTTATTCAGCTAGGATGCATTAAATTGATCAAAAGAGGTAGTAGACATTTATAATATTATAAAAATTATATTTCAAATAAATGCTGTTTTTTCATTAAAGGATTCATCAAAGAATCCTGAAAAAAAAAGTATCATGGTTTTCATCATTTTTTGGTGCACCTTATCAGCATATTACAATGATTTCTGAAGAATCATGCGAAATATATATAAAAATTAAAACAGTTATTTTAAACTGTAATAATATTTCACAATATGACTTTTAACTTTATTTTTGATTGAGAAATGCAACCTTCGTGAGCTTAAAATTTCACTGAAAGTCTGCTAGGCAGTGCAGAATCTTTTGAGCAATAATATGTCAAAGATCAATATGACAACTGCACCCCCATGAATAGAAATATATATACATAGAAAAAACAGTAGTTAATTTATTGCTAATTACTTGGCACTTGATGCCAGCCTGGCTGCAGGCACAGGTCTCCGGCTCACAGAAGCCCTGGCA